TCTTAACCATTGGGGGGGGGGGGGGCGGGGCGAGGGGCGGCCCACTCGTGATGACGCCACATAGAAGCCAAGAGTCCACCGAAGAACTCGGAAATCTGGCTCCGGAGAGCCCTGAATTTGGGAGACTCCCGGAGAGCTGGCGTGTAGCCAATCTGCCCAAGATCGCTCACAAGCTAGTTAGCGGTGGCTTCTTCTTGCTGATGTTGATTGATTTTGGCTATGGTTCTTTTCTACAGCACTCGTTGTTATGCCTTTTTCATCTTCATCCTTTGTATTCCGTTACGTCTTTGTTACCCAGCTCTCACATACTATCTTTTTCAGTTCTTCAACGTCTTCCACTAGCGTCACTCTTCGTAGATTTAAACATCTTCCTCCTCTCCAGAAACGTAAAATCTGAGCTGATTTTAGTGGCATTCTTACGTGGGATAGCACACATCACTTGAAGATTTTTTGGCACTCTTCATTAATTGAGTGCGGTTGCACTCTTCAACCTTTTCATAAACACCCATCCTCTGGACCATATTAAGGTAAGTGCCCCTCGAGTTTGCATGTCTTTGTGAGATACCTCTTGGCAGAGATTTCAACTAGGTGCGGGAAGGCGTTGCCAATAATCTCCAATAACAAGAGAAATACAAGAGTCAAAGGAGAACTTTCGGCCGAAAATGTTTTTGAGAAAATCTCTGAACTGCGAAAAACATCTTGGAAACAGGCTGCAAGTTATGATCCGATTGCATAGGATAAAACGGATCAAATGGGATCAAATTAAGACTTATCATACAGCTTTCGCATTCGCTGAATGAATTCTCAGCTGATGCATTGCCTTTACCAAAAACAGTAGATAATTCTCAACTGGCAGAACAAAAAGAAGGCTCATTTTTTCACGTTTCTTTGAACATTTTTGCTTAGGTTAACCTGGAAGTACTTACTTTCACTACTATAAAAAAATTCGCTAATACTTTGCCCTTTCTCTCTGATCGCTTCAATTCAAATGTGAACTCTTGTGTGACTCCTAACAATCAGTGTTGACTTGCACTGAAATTGCTCGCTTACTTGACAGGTGCTCAAATTCCTCTGCCATTTGGCTGATCGCCGCAATTTCTTTTTCGAAGCTCCTTCTTTTCCAGGTAAAAAATTGCAGATGCATTCTTCAAAATACCAGCTTCGAAGAACACTGCTTCAAGGGAGGAGTGCTATGTGCCTCCAAGGAAGGAGTTGAAGGACAAGCGAGCATGCGATGCCTCACCAGGACATTCCACATTAAAAGTTGAACGCCGGCACATCCAAGGTATGGACGCATAGTTGGAAGAATTCCATACACTTTTGTGCACATGTCCTTTTATTTTCTAATTTATTTTCTCCTCCTAGGAGTAGCTCCTGGTTGCCGCACTTTTTGGAACTTTCTCTCACTTCCTTCCTACTTCGCTTTTTCTCTCAAGTAGGTAACTACCTCGAATTCCTTTTGAAAAGTTTGTGATCTGCCATCAAATTTTCGAGTCTTGCTGCATCCTCTATCTGATCATGCGCTCATTTGCTGCAAAGTTACTATTGAAATGACTGCGGCGTTAGAGTCTCTCAGGCGTTCGAAAACAAATGTTCTCTCTCCAAACTTATCTATTGCAGTATTATTATGGTTTGGTTAGTGCCAGCGCAATGTTCTGTATTTGACTACAGGTAGCTGTGTGACTCGCATATGCTGGTTTCCGCTTGGTGGATTGTGTGAAAAGGTGCGGATTTGCTCTGTGAAGTGAGCTAGGTTTCAATAGTTTGACCTGCACGGTTCCTCTCAAAGGAGTTGAAAATCCATCTACAAAGGGTGAGTTATCGATGTATATGTATATTTGCTTTCATCGATCATCTTTATTTCTCAACTGTCTGCTTCACAAGGCATGGCTCTGCACTCCAAGGAAAATGATTTCTTTTCAGTTCCCCGGCCTTCGACTTCAATCAACATTTTCACTCTCTTTTGATTTTTTGAATGTTCATTTATGCCTCATATCTTCTGTGTCTCTCCTAATTATTCCCATGTTTTATTTGTTGTATGACACCGACCGATTTCTTATACGTGAATTTTTTTGTCTTATCTCATTTAGATCTCTTTCAATATTTTTAGTGTTTATATTTCTTATGCCGCACAGGTTGGTATGGTGGATTTTTATCGACCTAACTTTCGAACAACTCGTCTTCGTCGGAGGTCTTCGGTCCACCAATGAGTCAGTAGTCCGCACTAGATCAGTGTGACGAGTGATGTCCGTCACACTGATCTAGTGCGGACTACTGACTCATTGGTGGACCGAAGACCTCCGACGAAGACGAGTTGTTCGAAACGTTAGGTCGATAAAGATCCACCATACCAACCTGTGCGGCATAAGAAATATAAACACTAAACTTACAGTCGAAGATGCCCAGGTTTCAAGACGAGAACACATGGAAAATTCTTTCAATATTTTTCTCGCTGCAAAACGAGTGCTTCCTCTGTTATCATCGTGTTTTTTTTTTCATCTCATTCTCATTCATTACCAAACTTGTGTCTGCTACTTTAATGGTACAAATGAATAGTTTTATGTCTAGTAGTGTACGTTTTTTTGGATAAAAAGTAGTTTAGAGTAGGTTTGGGTGTCTAGGGGTAGTTTGGGTGAGGTTAAGGGGCTAAAGTAAGGTTTTCTAGCTCAATTAGGGGTAGTTACAGTATGCCGCGGGGGACACCCGGAGCACAAAATGGGAGGGCTTCGGCGAGCGAGTGGCGAACCCCCGCCGAGAAGACCTCGGCCACCCTCCATTTTGCCCTCGGGGGGTATCCCACCGACTGTCTGAGAATGGAAAACTTTCATACCGGGACCCGCACGCAAGACTCATCTAACAATTGGTAACAAGAAAAGTTCTTTTGACGCTCCGGCTCTTCATGCGGATAAACAATGAACTGCTCGTTCCGGAAAGCTTTCATAAGCGTGTTCTTCTTTACAAAACAATTCTCTTTGAAGAGTTATGAAGGTCTTTATTCCCGAAAGTAGCAAAGACTGCACTGAGTGTGGGAGTCGAAAGTGCAATGATCGCCGTTTGGCGACGTGGAAGGACCTTAGGATCAACCAAAAGCTCGCTGCTTCTCCAGGCACCTTGGGGAGGAGGGGGGGGGGGGATGCTCACTTCGCGCCCACCTCGCACTTCGCGCGTTTCTGCATAAGTTTCCATCTGGACAATCGCCATGTTTCTCCTAGCATTTGAATAGAGAACTCAGATAATCGCCGGGGGCAAGCGGCCATGCGAATTTTGAGCAAGCGGGCACCGGAAAAATAGTTCGCTGATTTTTTGTGGTCCGCTTGCAGAAATTTGGAATAATTTTGGCCAATTTTTAGACGAACGCTCGAAGATCTATCGCGGTTTTTCTATACATAGGTTGCGGCACAGTGGCCGCATTCTCGCGGATCTTCCGCGAGAACATGCAAAATTATTGAGAGCCGCACGGTCCTTTTTGAAGGACCGCACAGCCCTCAGGTACTTTCCGCTGAAAGAAAGTACCCCAAACTTGGGTAATAAAACCATCGATGGCACCTCTGCCACATAGAGTCTCATCTTTTCTCGGCGTACGCCCGAAACTGCGTAAAAAGAGTCTGAGCGCCTGCTGAAAGTTTGGCCAGCGCTCGCTGAAAGAGATTGTTTGACGAGCGCTTGCAGAAAATTTTGTATTGATGCCCGCTTGCAGAAAACGCAAATACCGCCCGCTGAAGATTTGGCCACGCCCCGAAATCCTGCTGACCGCATGCAGAAAAGCGCGAGTTTGCGGACCGCCTGCCCCCGGCGATTATCTGAGAATGTAAATAAAACATGAAAGAATTGAAGCTGTGCAAAAACAATAAGAACAGCCTGACAAGGAGTACTCATAGGCGCGGCCACTGAAACTTCGGTAGATAACAGGAGGTAAACAAAGTTAATGCTTTCTCATCTGCAATAACGTATTATATATATCTCTGGAATTATACAGCTACGAAAAGCAAATGTGTGCCGTACAGGTTTCAGGCGTATCTACACCGTTTACTAATAGTTCAAAAGGCCATCTTAAATTAAACTCTTCTTCCTAGAAGGCAGTGTCCAGGCAAATCCGGGTGTATGGGTTTTTGGGTTTTTCGGGCGGAAATTAATGAGGGGTCCTAACTGAGACGATACATTTACGATTGAGTAACTCATTCTGCGCCGTGACTATTTTGCGAGGTAAGATATTGCAGGTTCGATCGCTGGCCAAGAAGCTCGTCTACTTTTTATCTAACAGAACTATGTACTGAACGTATTTGATGCAAAATAGTGTTGCCAGTACAACATAATCAAAATCGCAAAGATACTCTTACATTAGGTAAATTCAACTACTCACATTCTGCTGTGTGAAGACTTTCAGTTTAGTGTGCTACAGTCGAGTAGATTTTTCGCTTAATATAGTGTGTTTGTACAGTTTATGAAATGTGGTGAAATCTGCGCGTGAACTAGCTGCGCCAGCACTGCCGGCATTTTGCGCGCGCAAATGGCAGGCGTCACAGTAGAAGCTTTTTCCTCACGAGCAAATTTTACTGCATTTCACCTTCTGTGCAAGCACACTATATTAAGCAGAAAATCTACTCGACAGTACCTTGGCGTATTTTTCTAGCAATCCTGCCTCAAGAAGGAAAGGAAGAAGAAAGAACTCATGTTCGGTAAGTTACATCAAAATGAGAGATATTCCCATCCACAACCTGCTTGACCATGTGGCATTATTGAACTGATCCGGACACTAACTATTATTTAATTCATTATATTGAAAAATTCATGCTTTCTGACGAGTTTGAATTGAGACTGTTATATCGGCTTAGGTGACCCCGGCTTCTTAGCCGGGGTCACCCAAAGTACTTCTTTCATATAAGCGCCTCATATATAGAGCACAGCAAAAAAAGCAGATGAAGATATCATCGGTTTCTATTTTGCCAAAGTTCTGGGACATCCACCTTCCTTGAAAGCAAACAAAAAAAAGACAAACTAACCTATTGGAAGGAATCGCTCTTGGTCCGGTATCGGATTACCACGTCTACCTTCGCTATCTGCATCTCCTGCACCATCTCCGCGAGTGTAGACCATCTTCAGACCATCCTGTAAAATCAGATAGAGAAAGGAGGGAGACGGTCAGGAGGCGTGATTTCTTCGGGAGTCACCAACATAAAACTCCAGTCTAGTGCTATGCGAGTCTTCAAAAAGTACCAGATAAAGTCTATTAGCTAGTCTAATTAGTTCGTAACATACACTCGAGTAAAGACACCTACACTATCTATGCACGGAAAACCTGCGTTCAAACTTCGGCGCTATTCCAGAATCCGTGCCCCAAAATCGAAGTCGTGGATTTCGTCCGAACTCGGTCAGGGATACATGCTGATCACAAATATTACACTCATTTTTGCACAACAACGTCGTTTGGTGGAGTTACGGTGGCCATACGGTAGGGGATCAAAATCACCAATTTAGCTGAAATTCGGTGCGGGGGGGGGGGGGGGGGGGGTCTGACGTGTTGACTACAGATATCAGGCTCTTTCTGCATCCTTTTCATGAAGTTACGGTAGGTATTTGGTAAGGTCAAAATTTGCTTTAAACTTTGCCTAGGTGGATTATTGAGCCCGTTGAAGAATATCATATTGATATCCTAGATAGCGCCACTTCCTTGAGTTACGGTGGGTGTACGGTACATGGGTCGCGGTCCCAAATTTGCTCAAAACTTTGCCTAGAAGTTTTTAGGCATACTGATCACGAACATCATGCTTACTAATTGCAATAACGCCTTACTGTAAAGCTACGGTACTTTGTAGCGTTTTGCGTTTAGACAAAAAATATCTAATCAAATGGGCCAATTTAGTTAACAAAAATTCATGTGAAGGCCTTACCATGTACAGTCTGACCCAATCGGGATCGGGCCGAACCGTCGGCGTAAATTTGCGCGCTCGCAGCGCTACACGTTTGCGCTGCATATGCGCGCTGTTTGAGAGAGCGAGGAGATCGAAGAGGGAGCAGATAAGTAGGCCGTGAGCATGACCGCAAAACCCTAGCGACGCGGACTCCCGCCATGCCAATTTTGGTCTGATTAGGACTGGGGCAGACTGTAAAGTGAGCACGGTATTTGGGATCAGCAAGTCAGATGCCCCCTGTACAAATTTTCAGGTATGTCTGCGATTTTGACCCCCTTCCATACACCCACCGTAACTCCGCGAAAAGATCCCAAAACGCAAGCAAGAAAAGTGCGTTATTCATGATAAGCATGTGGAATGGACCCCTTCAGACCAAATTCCACCCAAATTTTAGATTTTGATTTTGTCCACCAACCATACTTTTCGACAGAGGCTAGAAAGTGATAGTTGTTTGAGTTCCTGTCCTCTATAAAAAGTGAAGGCTATTTCAGAAAAATAGATGGAAGTTTAGAGATATGACTTAAACCAGAAAACTCAAAAAATTCATATAAAGCGGAGGTTAGCACATCACCAGATTTGGAACCTTAACTTGGTGGTTTCCTACGCACAGATCCCTTGTCAGATTGCCGGTTAAATTGAGTAGCAACAAGACAAAAAGCCTTTCCAATCAAAAAAGCGCTGTTTAGCAGTGGTGGTATCGTCGTCTCGTGTATGTTGAGCGGAGCATTTGCAGACATTTGAACACGTTAATGAACTTGTCAAACCTCTACTGCAAGGAATGGTTTCTTGCACTCTCTAAAGTGCCACGTATATATGCTGTTGTCATAAGTGGCAGAGGTGGTAGCGAGAGATCGCAAATAACGTCTTTCGACAGAGGTTTGACAAGTTCACCAACATGTTCAAATGTCTGCAAATGCTCCGCCCAACGTAAACCGGGGAAGCGACGATAGCTGAGAGGCCGAAAGAAGGAAAACTTGTCAACAACTGGATTGAACATGTTAAACACGTCTGAAAAATGTTGCACATCCACGCCAATCTGATTTTTGATGCGTCCTTTGAATTTTCACCCCCCTCCCCATAGTCGTGTCTTATCCTGCGACGTTGTCTGGATTCTTCCGCTCATCATTCTGAGCAAGTATCATCCAAGCTGGAGAAAATTCGTTTCAAAAACACAGAGAGAACAAAGTAAAGAAGAACGCACTTTTTAGTATTTTTCACAAAAAAACCGGCATAAGCAAAGAAGTAAGCTCGGCGACGTTATCTACATCATAGACAGAAACAAGACATACCAAATACAAAAAAAAACCAAGTGAAAAGAATTAAACTGAAAAAAAAAGAGGTTTCTGAAAACGCCGTTTTTTCCAGATTTCTTGTTTACATCATAAGAAGGAGTCCTACGACGTTATCAGCGTAAATATAGAGATCAAGAGCTTTGATATGATATATAGATCGTCGAAACTGGGCTCCGAACAACGAAGAAAAGGGTACCAGAGTCAAATGCCCCGCGCCCCGCATTTGAGGTAGCGAGGTAGCGCGCAAAGCGCGGAGACGCAGACGAGCAGCGGAGACCAGATCCGGTGGGGCACTTGGCTCTGGTCGTAGATCTCCGCGGGTCCATGACGAAACCCTACATTATATACCGTTGTGAAGCTTGAAATTTTGGGGCCCGGATACCGAAATTAACGCGTAAACTTCTACTGACTAAAGTTTGGAGGCTAATTCCAGGCCAGTACTTCCTAAGAACTTCCGGCGCTATTCGGCTATCATTCCAAAGCTCTTTGCCGTGGATTTTGCTCATACTTAGTCCTTGCATTGTAGGTGAAATGCGGTAAATTTGTGAGTCAACCCCACGCCAGTAACACCCACATTCTGCGTACGCACTTCAGTGGCGTACCCAGGATTTCTGCTCGGGGGGGGGGGGGGGGGAGGCGACGAAAAATTTTTTCGAATGAAGGTGCGTGATGTCAGCCACTCACTCCGAAAAAATTTTTAGGGGTGCTTCTCAAAATTTTTGCGGATCTCCAACCCCTAAAATCTGGAAAAAAGAGCGTGGCGTTAGCCACGCCCCCGGCCCCCGAAAAAATTTTTTTACAGGGCTAATTTGAATTTTTAAAATTTTTTGAAAATTATTTTAATTATTTACAAATATAAACAAGTCCCTTGCACGTTTTTATAACCCACATAAGTAACTTTCAAAAATTTCGCGACCCATTCTCGGGGGGGGGGGCGCCCCCCCCCTCTCGGTACGCCACTGGCGCACTTGATCGGCGTCACAGGAGCAGCTATTTATTCACACGCACCTAACCTATAGTGCAAGCACACTATATTAAGCGGTAAATCTACTCGACTGTACAGTCTGCCCCAATCCTAACTAGGCCAAAATTGGCATGGCGGGAGTCCGCGTCGCTAGGATTTCGCAATCACGCCCACGGCCTGCTTCTCTGCTCTCTCTTCAATCCTTTCGCTCTCTCCGACAGCGCGGATATGCAGCGCAGACCGCTAGCGCTGCGAGCGGCAAATTTACGCCGACGGTTCGGCCTGATCCCGATTGAGGCAGACTGTATTATTTTCGAGCTCAGCATGCGAAATAAGCTACATAAACCAAATACGAGCGAACTCTTCGATTTACTTCAACCCCCTCCCCTCACGCCTACTTATCGTAACCACACAAGACGTTAATTTGAAAAGTGTTTGAGATTAGCAGATGAGATAACCTCTACAGACGCAAACTGGACGGAATTCATGCCACATTTTGAAGCCCGTGGCTAATAGCGCCAAAGTCAATATCAAGATGGAAGAGTAAGTAGATAAGCTCAATCACTGAGCAAGACGTGCCTTATTTCAACCTGATAGCGATGGTTTGTAACAAAAATAAGGTCACTCGAAAAGTCTGTTCGTTTTCGCACCCCTGAGTTAAAACAAGTTCAACATTTTCCCAATCCAATCTTTTCCACTAGATAAACTTCATTGTGTTTATCACATCTCTGACGACACTAGTGTAGTGCTCTTATGGTTTTTTCTGTGAAACGATCTCAGAGAATTCAACAGAATATAGTGGCGTTTTCAACTAGCTACTATACAATAGGCCCCATTATTCTTACATAGGTTAAAAGGAGACAGGTGATCGGCAAAGGAAGGTCTGAAGAGTATGGAGATAGATAAGAACATTCGTGCGGAGTCAAGGTCTTTATCGAGAGCCACTTTTCTGACATGTGGTTTGGCGGCATCGTGGGCGAGAAAGGAACCCAATATAGTCTTACTAGATGGCTTACCCGGCTCCGCCCGGCCCTGTCAATAATATATCTTCTTATATATAAAGCTGAATGTCTGTTTGTCTGTATGTCTGTCTGTCTGTCTGTCTGTCTGTCTGTCTGTCTGTCTGTCTGTGTGTACGTATGTTCCGAATAGAAAATTCCATTTCTGAACCGATCCGGACCAAACTTGGCACACATACACTACGGGCCCCGGCGGGTGTCATAGGCTACTTTTCGTCATCGATCGATATCGATTTTATCGATTTTTATCGATTTTTTTGCTGAGTTCACCTACGGGGCTGGGAGTTGGCACAGGGGGGTAATCGAGCATGGGGATTCCGAATACAATATTGGTTTTCAGGATTATCGATTACTTTTATCGATTTTTTTGCAAAGTTTGAGCTACGAGGCTGGGAGTTCGCACAGGGGGGTAATCGAGCATGGGGATTCCGAATACAATATTGGTTTTCAGGATTATCGATTACTTTTATCGATTTTATCGATTTTTTTGCAAAGTTTGAGCTACGAGGCTGGGAGTTCGCACAGGGGGGTAATCGAGCATGGGGATTCCGAATATATTGGTTTTCGGGATTATCGATTACTTTTATCAATTTTATCGATTTTTTGCAAAGTTTGAGCTACGGGGCTGGGAGTTCGCACAGGGGGGTAATCGAGCATGCTGATCATCCCCAAGGGGGGTGATCAGCATGCTCGATTACACCCCTGTGCCAAATTCCAGCCCCTAGCTCCAATTTTCAAAAAATCGATAAAATCGATAAAAGTAATGGACGATCCTGAAAACTAATATTGTGTTCGTAATCAGCATGCTCGATTACCCCCCTGTGCAAAATCCCAGCCTCGCATGTCAAAATTTACAAAAAATCGATAAAATCAACGAAAGTAATCGATAATTCTGAAAACTAATATTGTATTCGGAATCCCCATGCTCACTTCCCCCCTTTGCCAACTCCTAGCCCTGTAGGTGAACTCTGCAAAAAAATCGATAAAAATCGGTAAAATCGACATCGATCGATAACGAAAAGTGGACTGTGACACCCGCCGGGGCCCGAAATGTATGTGTGCCAAGTTTGGTCCGGATACGGCGGAGCCGGGAAAGCCAGCTAGTTTGTAATCAGCATGGTCGATTACCCCCCTGTGTCAACTCCTAGCCCTGTAGCTCAAATTTTGCAAAAAATCGATAAAATCGATATTGATCGATGACGAAAAGTAGCCGGGAGACGGTCTTTTCGCACGGGCGGTCTCCAGCGTCTCCCTGATTTTGACTTGTCTTAACATGTAATGCACGCCGCAAATCTTTCCTCCCTGTGTTTTGCTTAGGCAAAAGCCGCCGCAGGGTGTGTCGCGCGCGGCGGTGGTCCTGTGTGGAAAGCATTACGGTCGTGCGAAACGTCACACACCCAAAGTAGCCTATAACACCCACCGGGGCCCGAAGTGTATGTGTGCCAAGTTTGGTCCGGATCGGTTCAGAAATGGAATTTTCTATTCCGAACATACGTAGAGACATACAGACATACAGACAGACAGACAAACAGACATTCAGCTTTATATATAAGATGTGCAAGTCTGCTCAATCTACAAATTTTGACAAACGGTCTCTAAATCGTTACCTACCATGTGCTCTGATTGCAAACCCTGTTTCAGAAAGGTTCTAGCATGCAGGACAAACAGGATTACGCTGATTTGAGTATCACCCTTTTGTAGTGACTAACTCTTCATGGTAATATTTACAATGCTTGTTCAAAATGATTTGTCACAATGTTGTTTCTTATAGCCGTACTTGGCGCATTTCCAAGGGATAAAGGACAAAAGATTCGACGTCTTCAGTACCCTTTGCGGGCAGCGCCAAACACACACAACTTCATGTTCGAAGAGACAATTGCATGCGTGCGAGCCTTTTGCATGACTTGCCGAAACCAGTCGATAACCAAGTTAGTATTTTTATCCATCAGAATTTCCCAGGTACCAATTTATCGTCCTCAGAGAGTAAAGGTGGCTGGCTCAGAGGGGGGGGGGGATCAAACGTGGGTCCCTGGTCTAACGCCTCATACCACCACACACTAGTTCCCAGCTCATTTTTAGCTACGATTAACATAAAGGATTGCTCTACCAAATTGTGAGCAACAACAGCAACGTCAACGCGCCTTCAACCTACGAATCCATCAATTTGTGCAATATTTACATGCTGAAATTCTTCTGAATTGTAGCTTTAGCGAAGGTGGCTTCCATTGGGATTATTCCCCTAGGTCTGCTGAGAATTTTGGGCATCAACATTTGGAATTTGCTAAAGCCCTTTTGAGCTACTTGCCTTCATCAGCAACACCTTCCAGAACAATATAGGGCGCTATTCCACTTCAGTTGACCCAAAAAATGAAAGTTATGGACTTCACTAATACTTCGTCTAGGAGGTTGTTTTGCACGCCGATTAGGAATACCACATTTTTTTGGCACGGTAGTGCCATTTAAGTAGAATTAGGTTAGCACCGGATTTGCCCCAAACTTCAACTAGAGGAGCTGTTCGGCACGCTGAACATAAAAATCATCTTCAATTCTTATGATAGCGCTAACTTCTTGGGTTACGGTAGGTAAGGGTAGCTGAATGAAATTTCCGAAATTGCTCACCACTTTGCTTGCAGAAGTTCGAAGCATGCTCATTACGAAAATCATGCTCTTTTTGCATTTTGGAACCTTTTCGCGGAATTACGAAGTGTACGGTAGGTGGCTGAAGTTACGGATGTACTCGAAATCTGTGCAGGACAGCTATAGTTGACTACACGGAACCGACCGAGCTGAACGCCCAAGCGCGTGTCTCTTGCCTGCTAATTGGCATTCGCGCGCATGAGTGATCAAGCGCCAGTCCTTGGCAGCCGCGTTGCAGGCACGCTCGTGTGCGTTCAGCCTACAGCGACCCGGGCAATTTCGCGCAGTCCACTTTACTGACGTGCTAATCATGTATACCGCGGCTCGTCTCGCATGATAAAGCCTTTTCGTGGAATTTTATTTTGGGATTTATATTGAGCTAAAAACCGGATCAGTTGTTCTTATGCACTTTACCTCACTATAACTCCGCAATAAGGCATTGTTGCAGTGTATGAGCCTGATATTCGCAATCAGCACGCTTGAGAACCACTCTAGGCAAGGTTTTCAGCAAATCCGGGAACTTTAGCCATCTACCGTTTGATCATAACCCGTGAAAAAAAAAAACGCTATCGTAAGAAATGAATATGATACTCATGTTCAGCGCGCCAAATACCCTCCCCCCCCCTACACGAAGTTTGATTTTGACCCTCTGTCTTAATCCTACCGTGACTCTACCCAAATGGTGTACCGCGCCAAATAAATGTGATGTCCGTGATCAGCGTGTTCAATAGCCTCCCTAGACGAAGTTTCAGCAAAATCAGTGGTTTTCATTTTTAGGTCAATTAATTTGGAATAGTACAGTCGAGTAGATTTTCTGCTTAGTGTAGTGTGCTTGCACTGTAGGTGAAACGCGGTAAAATTTACGCGTAAAGAATTAGCGACGCCAATAATGCCGGCATTCTGCGCGCGCAATTGGCCGGCGTTACAGGCGTACCATCGGCTCGCAGTTGCCGCGAGTGCGGTCGTGATGGTCTACCGATAATCAATTTATCAGTTACTAGCTGGCTTACCCGGCTCCGCCGTATCCGAACCAAACTTGGCACACATACACTTCGGGCCCCGGCGGGTGTCACAGTCCACTTTTCGTTATCGATCGATGTCGATTTTACCGATTTTTATCGATTTTTTTGCAGAGTTCACCTACAGGGTAGGAGTTGGCACAGGGGGGGGGAAGTGAGCATGGGGATTCCGAATACAATATTAGTTTTCAGAATTATCGATTACTTTTATTGATTTTATCGATTTTTTGTAAATTTTGACATGCGAGGCTGGGATTTTGCACAGGGGGGTAATCGAGCATGCTGATTACGAACACAATATTAGTTTTCAGGATCGTCCATTACTTTTATCGATTTTATCGATTTTTTGAAAATTTGAGCTAGGGGGCTGGAATTTGGCACAGGGGTGTAATCGAGCATGCTGATCACCCCCCTGTGCCAAATTCCAGCCCCCTAGCTCAAACTTTGCAAAAAAATCGATAAAATCGATAAAAGCAATCGATAATCCTGAAAACCAATATTGTATTCGGCTCCCAGCCCCGTAGGTGAACTCAGCAAAAAAATCGATAAAAATCGATAAAATCGATATCGATCGATGACGAAAAGTAGCCTATGACACCCGCCGGGGCCCGAAGTGTATGTGTGCCAAGTTTGGTCCGGATCGGTTCAGAAATGGAATTTTCTATTCGGAACATACGTACATACATACATACAGACAGACAGACAGACATACAGACAAACAGACATTCAGCTTTATATATAAGATGTTTCAACACAGAGCAACCGCATCATTGATACGCTCGCCCGAGTCCGCCCTCGCGGCAATCGGGAAGCCGACGGTAGCTATTTGTTCACGCGCAAATTTTGGGTAAGGGAACGAACTCCGCCAGTCTGAACCGCCTCCGCGGATTACCGGTCCTGCAAGGACATGCAACAATATTGCAAAAGGATCAGTTGCCAGCGAAGGCGGGCTCAAACTGACGGAGTTCGTTCCTCCACGCGCAAATTTTACCGTTCGCTTACAGTGCAAGCACACTATATTAAAGGCAGCGTCCGGGCAAAATTTTGGGGAAAACTTCTTCCGCTTACCTGGGCTTGTTCTTCCCGCTGATTCCAAAAATGCAGCTTGCAGAAAACGAAATTGTCGAAAACGGGCTGTTTCAGAGGCTGCTGTTTTCGAATATGAAAGCTTGCCGCCGAGGTCAAGACGCAGAGTCGCGGTGGGACCTTACATCTTGACTGTGTGAGACATACAGACTCTGGCTATCGATTGTGGAGGCGGGCAGGTCGCCGGGCCTCCCGGTCGCCACTACTGAGGCGGTTTTCTCGCTTCACAAGCGAAGTGGTGCAATGCTACTTGGGCTAGGCTTTATCAGCGCGGGAGCCCCTATACGCTAAATTTTCATAACTGCCCGGACGCTGCCTTTAAGCGTTCCACCGACCGACTGTACCCAATACAGCATCAGCTTCCCTTTTCTAGACTTAAACTTTTTGACCCATTCTTGCGGCAACGCTGAGAAAGATGTAGCTTCGACAAATGCGCTAAGCACAATAATTGCTTCTTCAACTACCTTGCGCTCAAGTTAGAAATTAGTGAAAGCAAACTTCCAAACCGCATTTTCACATGCCGATTGCGCGGCCGCCTAAACTTCCCTACAGAGCGATTTTTGCAATTTTGGTAAGGTGAAAAAGACATCAGAAAATTTCCTTTACAAATCATGTACAGAACCTCTGTAAGTCCTTTGACACCTTCTCTAAATATGGCACCAACGTTAAGAGAGAAAAAAGCAAAAAAACTCTCCGAAGGACCTAATAGAAGAGAGACACTTACACTGGTGACGCCCAACTCGACTTCTTCATCAATGTTTTCCATGTTTTCCAGATCATGGTCGTCCGCAAAATGTACCATGAACTCCTTGCCCTCTCTATCACTCATGATCACAGGAAGCTGGAAGACTGCAGTAAAAAAGGATAATATAATACTGATGAATAAACTTGTCTATTCCAAAAGGATAGTTTACAAGCTGATTATAACTGATCTAAAATCAAGCTGCAGTGATTTCTGCGGCTTACATACTGGACGGAGAGGGGTGGGACTGCCTTGACAGCGTGTGCATAAGTGCCTGTATGCTTTGTGCAAACGGATATGCGAGATCAAACTGCCGCAAACAACCGCACCCATTTTGTCTGAGCATAACATTCTCCTCGTTTCTTATTGCTAGTTGATGTATCTAATTATTCTTGCAACCAATCAAGCCCAAAGAGATTTTTGACGATCTTTTTCAGATCTGGCCCAAGTGTGTTTTCTTGACTGGTGACTGTTTTGTGCTGTATGAATTATGGCTTATACTTTATGCTTCTTCTGTCTGGACTACAACTGAGACTCTATCTTGGCTCTAATTTTCTGTTGCGAAGATAGCCAGATTAAGTACAGTGTCGACCGCTAACTATATCTTTTTGATAATTGAAACCAGCTTGTCTTAGGGCCGCATGCACTAACATGGCCGCGGGGAGGGGATCGCAGCTTAAAAGAAAGCTTCATATTCCGAAACTCCAGATACCTGGATTTCACGTTGTGTACCTCTCCGTAAGTATTCCTACTATCCTTCACTATGAACATGTTGAACAGGAGCGAGAAGCTGTACAAACCGCATTTTCCAGCTTTTGTGTGATCCCTGATGATCCCCAGCGCTTTTCTTTGAAGTCATTTTTCTTTCTCCGTAGTTAACGAAAAACTTCCAAAGTTGTGCACATTATCTAACCCAACAGTGCTAAGCATGTTGCTGATAAGAACAAATGATGTTTTGAAGTCATGAAGTTTTCGATGGTCCACAGGTCGAAATTTGGGGTTTACCGAAAAAGTCGAATTTTCAAAAAAAATTTTGTTCTCATCAGCAACATGCTTAGCATTGTTGTGTTAGATGTTCAGTGCAACTTTGGAAGGTTTTCGTTAACTTCGGAGAAAGAAAAATGACTTTGAAGAATAGATGTTCGTCCCCCAGGGATCATCAGGGGATCCTACAAAAAGCTGGGAAATGCGGCTTATACAGCTTCTCGCTTCTGCTCAATATGTTCATAGTGAAAGATGGTGGGAGTACTTACGGATAGGTAGACAGCGTGAAATCCAGATATCCGGAGCTTCAGGATATGAAGCTCTCTTCTGAAGCTGCGATCCCTCCCCAGCGCAAATGTTAGTGCATGCGGCCCTTAGTCTACAGCGGAATGACTCCAATCGACATCTAATGCCTCGTCTGAATCTAGACCCAGTCATTGCCTTCAAATAGTCTAAACATGTACCGTTGAGTCTTTGTACCTAGAAATTCTTTCAGAGTCTTGCCTTCATCTACAGTTAGTTTTTCCGGGGTCAGGTCGGCTAGCTCCCTTCCGCAGGCTCGTTGACAACCGAAAAAAAGGGGGTCTATCAACCTAGATGAAGCAAGATTCTACTGCTTAATCGTTCTTTGGTTGAGTATTCTTTATCTGCTGATTGTTTGACAGATTTACAGATTTATGGGACAGTCTAGTTCATTCTAACGTGCGCGTTTAACTTCCGTTGCGTCTAAGACTAGCTGGCATTGTATTTTGCTGTTTCTTTTTCTTTTGTGTTACACCTTTGAGTGTATAAGTAAAGTAAAGTAAAGTAAAGAGGCAGTACTGTGGGATGCGATTTTCTCCCCAAGGAACATGGAGGGATGTAAAACATTATATGACGCTCCCAAGATTACTTTATATCACTTTATTGTGCTTAAATTGAGGAAGAAAAAAAAACAATTATAGTGCATCGCTCACATCGATCCATAACGCATAAAATCCAGTAAAGAATGTAGATTTTATTATGGACGTCTTGTATTAGCGCTAGGCCTCTCTCCATCTATATAACATTCAGGGGACCGTCTACTTCGCCCACAGCGCTCAAAGCGCCCAAAAGCGCCAAATGCTTCCACTCGCGTGCGCAATTCTTAACGCTGGAGCCTAACTTCGAAAACGGTTCAGCAATCTTCCAGCAGTAAAATTAATAATAAAAAGCGAAAATCACGCGAATTCCCAAAACTCGAAAATGAAAAACTTCACGATAACGTCAGATGCACTTCGAGTAATTCTCACATTTTCGCAGCAAAAAATCCGAAACTGTGGTGGCCAGGCGTTCAAGATAAAAAAAGATACAGGGCTCTACGGGATCGCGAGAGTCGGTGAGATTACGCCACTGCATACGCAGGATGCCACAAGGCCTCTAACCAGTTTAACAATCCCGCACTTTTCGAAATTCAAGGTAATTGGAAGCTAACATCTGATAGCAGAGAAAAAAAAATAACTGAGAAACTTTGGAAATAACTGAGAAAGCTCAATGCGCGTGCAATGGCCGCAAACACACTGACTCTCGCGATAACGCAGAGCCCTATAAACATTATGCACATCACATCATCAAAGCACTTTTGTGCAAGTTTCTTAAGGTTCACCAGGGTATTGAGCTGACTTTAACCGTGATTGATATTGACATATAGATGTGATAATGTATTTCTTTAGAGGCAGTGATCGGCAAAATGGACCCCTGTGATTTTGGTAGTTTCAGGTATAGATCCCCTCCCACAACGTAGTCCCAACCCCACCCTCCAATTCATGCGCTAAGACCTGAAAAAAGCGCCTCAAAACTTCACCACTAACGCTCACTCAATTGAAATGGGCGGGGCTGATGGAGTTTTGAAGATTAGGCTACGGTGTACTTGGAGGTCTACTATCTAACCCTGCTAAAATCTGACATGTGAGTAGAGTCCATTTTGCCGATCTACTGCCTCTGATACTGAACATTTCTTTGCAAACACGCTTCAAAGCCAAAAGTTGCCACAGTAAAAGGGGCGTTCCGGCGGCCCACTTGAAGGCAGCGTCCAGGCAGAGCCTCGACATCTCTTTTTTTCGCATTTTCCAAGCCTTTTCATGGCGCTGATTCCAAATATGGCAGTCAAAATGCGTGAATTCCTCAAATAACCCCATTTTTGAAACAATTTTATAAGAAGTCTCAACGAGTGCTTCTACAACAATCCTTGTCGAAAGCAAGCATTCAACAGGTAGACACTATGTGTTTTATCCTGTTTGCCACGTGAAAACACGTCAAGGGCTGAGGAGAGTGTGTTCAAGGAGGCGGGCCATTCGAGAGAATGGCGAACGGTCCGCCCCCTTGAACGAACTCTCCTCAGGCCTTGACTGTTTTCACATGGCAAACACAATCGAACACCTAGTGTCTACCTGTTAGTGCTTGCTTTAGACAAAGATAGCATTAGAGGCACTCGTCCACGGTTCTCATAAAGTTGTCTCAAAAATGGGGTGTTTTGAAGAATTCACGCAATTTGAGTGCCATATTTGGAATCAGCGCCATGAAAAGGCCTGGATGACGCGAAGAAATAGAGATTGAGATTCTGCCTGGGCGCTGCCTTTAAGTATACACAGCCGGCTGCGCGGGCGGTCGCATCGCGCAGCCACTTTGTGTGCTTGGGTCACGCTTGCTCAGCTCGCGCTCAGGATAGAACAATTCACTATCAATTCAGGATAGAATTTAATCAGGATTGGATGTTTCTCATCTTATATATAAAGCTGAATGTCTGTTTGTCTGTCTGTCTGTCTGTATGTATCGTCTCCTCCACAGATCGTGCTACTCTTGTGGCGTCGTGGACGTGCCACGTGTGACTAACACATTGGCAACGTTAGCAGCAACACGTTGGCAACATGCAGCAACATGTTGGCGTGGAAATGTTCTGCCAACATGTTGTGACATGTTGCAAACATGTTGTTGCCACGTTGCCAACACGTTAGCCACACGTGGCAGGTCTGACAAGGGAAGGAGGGTTGGTCGAAGTGGCCTTTTGAAATGAGGTGTATACTGCCTTGTAGAGCTTGGAACGCTGATTCCAAATCTGCCTTTGCTATCTGCTGCGGGCTCTGGGCGACGAGTTATGAAGGTTTTTATGAGTAAAAATCTGAATGCAAAAATAGGGTAAAATCAATCGTAACCTTTTCCCAATGTTGAAATGAGGCAGCAGCGAAGTAGTATACTTGAATCAAGAATACTTGTTGCACCGAGTGACTCGACTACCAATTAAGCCCTATAAAAAATGTTACGACTTTGATTTGGTCCGGATTTTCAGCCTACTCTTGCATTCAGATTTTTCAAAAACCTTCTAACTCGTCGCCCAGAAGCCCGCAGCAGATAGCAAAGGTAGATTTGGAATCAGCGTTCCAAGCTCTACAAAGCAGTATGCATCCCATTTCAAAAGGCCACCTCGACCAACCTTCTTTCCTTGTGAAACGCAGACCAAAGGTAGCACGATCTGTGGAGGGGACGATACGTACCCTCGATATCATCCCATATGTCTTCCCTCAACATGACGTGGAGTACGTGGCTTGATGAGGCGCCGCCTCGCTTCGGGCACGCGCTATGTTGCGTGCACATCTTCGGCGTGATATGGCAACGAGAACAACAAGGAAAAGCCTTGCGCCACGTTGGTTTGAGCGCCACGTTGCGCCAAACGATGCGCTCGCAACGTGGCGCGAGCCCAAAGCGACGCGGCGCCTCATCAAACCACGTAATCCACGTCATGTTGAGGGAAGACATATGGGATGATATCGAGGGTATGTATGATCGCCTCCACGATTCGTGTAGAGGTGTATTGCAGACTTTGTCTGATAACACAGGTAAACTTGTTAAACCTCCACGTCATAGCATTGTTTTTTGTACTCTCTCGCTATCAAAAACACCGCCACGCTTTGAGTTGGCAAAACCCCGCCTCTACACGAATCGTGGAGCCGATGATATGTGTGTACGTATGTTCCGAATAGAGAATTCCATTTCTGAACCGGACCGGACCAAACTTTGCACACATACACTTCGGGGCCGGGCGGGTGTCGTAGGCTACTTTTCGTCATCGATCGACATCGATTTTATTGATTTTTCAAAAG